ATGCGGGCCTAGATCATCATCTCCAGATTTACAATGAACGGTTAAGTCCACATTATTTCCTAAATCGTTTGAAACTCTCACTTGCACTCCTAGAGCATTGTCCATTAATAGACACGTCAGGACACATAGAAATAAAAAATATCTTGTAAGAGGAGACATTACTCTTTTAACTAGTCTTTTTATTTGAAAGTCACTACCTTTTGTTACGTGAAAGTTACAAAAACTATTTAAAGAGGAAACAAATATTTATAGGATATATTTTGGAAAGAATAGAAAAATAAAATCAAACATTATGGTGTCATAAAAGCCATTCATTTTGCTTTAAATTTAAGCTTTACTAATATTTGATTGGAAACTAATTCAAATATGCTATTCTTTCTTCCAACTCAAGATCCTAAAATCGGGCCTTGGTCCATTCAAACTAGATTGCTTAATGTGGGTGCTAAGGTTAGAAAATGGAGCTTTTCACCACTCATGTTTATAGGGACGCGCCATTGTAGAGCCCCATGTAGTGTGGCACATTCCTCTATGTTTCTTGCTTCATCTTTGTATCATGATATGTTAAGTTTGTCTAATTGTAGATTTGTTGGTGTTTAAGGGATTCATTTTAGTCCCGCACTACTTTTTCTCAGATCTATTGAATTTTGAATCAATAAAAAAAAACATTAAATATATTAATAATTTTAATAATTAATTTTATTTACTATTTTATGTAGATATAAAATAATTCAAAAGTATTAAAAAATTAAAATTATACATTTCAAGAAAATCATTAATAATTTAACAAAACATTTCTACAAAAATTACATGTCACCGATGTAAAACTCATGTGTTTTTTCAAACTATAAGATTTTGTCCCGGTTTTTGTTTTATTGTATCCCATGTTTTTAAAAGTTAAAAAGAGTTATATAAGAAATTAGTAATCACTTTTAATCAAATTATAACTTTTGTTATTTTAACATAAACAAATTATCTACTACTTCTAGCAAATGCGAACGATCATATGTTGGATGCCATTACTAGACTACGAACCCATGATCTAACGGTTGTGTGTTGTATATCTATTGGATTTACCTCTCCTTCTTGATAATAAAAAAGAAAACATTCATAAAAACAAAACATTTATAAATTTTGTAATATGTATTAAACAATATATATTTAAATCGAATTTGAGAAAAAAATATGTATTTTTAATATATATTTTCTAAAATATATGACCTTGACTATATTTTTAATATATATATATATATATATATATATATATATATATATATAATATATATATATATATATATATATATATATATATATATAGTTGTACATAATACATATAATAAGTGCATAAATGATATTACAGAGTCATTTACAAAAATTTAATAACATCACTAGTACAAGATCGTATGTTTTTATCAAGAAATACTACAGATCTTCAAAATAAGACAATGTAAATAACTCTAGAGACATCTTTAAGTTTCCTTAATCAGGTTACCCTCTGCCTTAACATGATGAGAAGTACTTGAAAATGATCAACAATAGTAGAATAAGATTACTACATGCCAGTGAGTTCTATTTTATCAACAAATTCCACTCGACTCAACAAGTTTAAAAAAGCTTCAATGTTTCTTTCTTCCTTTATGTTTCGAGAACCCCATGCAACTTCTTTTTCCCTTCATTCCTTTAATTTCACGTGTTCCTTTTTTTCTCTAATCTATTATGATGTCTCTCTTTTTAAAAAAGAAAATAATTAAAATGAGTGAAAGTTAGTAAAGAGACCTCCTTAAGAGAAATTAGTAATTTACTCTTCACTTTTGATGAATTTCAAATGTATGTCATTATTCCAACAATTTCTAAACTAAATCTTAACGTTTTTCATTTATTCATTTATAATTAATAACATTAGGCTCTTAAATAGATTTTGGGTGTTATAGATATTACCACTCTAGGGATGGAAATTTGGCTCATTCCAAGTGGGTACCTACAAAAATACCCACAACGAGTAGGGTAAACCCGCAAAAATGGGTATTGGAAACTACCCATTAAAATAAGCGGGTATTGGTGCACGTAGAAGTACCTTACTACCCACTCCGTCACATACCCACACTATATTTTTATATAATTTCATTTATATTATTATATAAAAATAAATTTTTATCAATTTATAAAAAATATATCGTTATTAAACCATTACACATTTTAATACAAAATTTATTTATTTCTTAACTCAACAATAACTTCCGGAATTTTTTTATTATTGTTAAAAAATATAAATTATATGATATTTTAAAATTAGTTGATTTAATTTTACTACAAACACGGGTAAACGGTTACATGTATGGGTATTGAGGTGCCCATAGGGTACGAGTACGGGTATGAATATTGGTGCCCACATGGATTTGGACTCAGGTACGATAATATATTCAAATTGCGGATATGGGGACTGGTACTATAGTATCCTGACTAAACCCAATCCATTTCTATCCCTATACACTCCTTCTATAGATTAAAAATTTTTAAAAATTATATAAAAACAATATTAAATTTTGTAATATAGTTTAAAAAGTATATTGATTAACGAAATTTGCCTAAACTATATATTTTGAATATATACCAGCCAAAGAAAGCTAGCTTTAATATATATATATATATATATATATATATATATATATATATATATATATATATATATATATATATATATATATATATATATATATATATATATATATATATATATATATATATATATATATATATATATATATATATATATATATATATATATATATATGAAGTTAGAAAATATTCATACACTAATAAAGTGAGTAATATATTTTAAATGCATATTATTGGTCTTTTACTGATTTTTCTCTATTTATTTTTATAAAAATAAAAATTTCAGCGCCTACATTTAAAAATAAATACTTATTATTTTTAAAGAGATAAGATACAATAGATGAAATAATTAATTAATGATACTTCAAACTTTGAAAACAATAACTTTTTTGCATTCTACAACAGTTTTTAAAATTCCTTCATGGCTTCAATAGAAGAAAAAAGTCATCAAATGGTTTTAAGAGAGTCGGGTTAAATTAATATAAATGATAATTAAATAGTGTTTTGAAAACTATAATCATACATTATCAACATATAAATATAATACTAATCATTTATGTTTTATTTTTTGTTGTATTGTTACCACGTAGTAGTTAATGTTACAGATTAAATACCGTAACTCAATATCAAACATTTTTGTAAAATAAAAATATATAAACTTAATGACTAAATTCATGTACTTGAATGTTACATAGAAAACTTACTTTATAAAAAAAGTCTCAAAATTATATTATTTACTAAAAAATTACTTTTTTTAGGAAGAGAATAAAATTGACTCTAGCATTGAAAATCTCAATTCCGATTTTGTAAAACAATGAGATTTTTTAAGTTAAGTAGAAAATATTATTAAAGAGTATGGTTGAAAATCAAATTTATTGTAATGACTTGGTGCGCCTCAATTATACATCATAACAAAGACGGTTGGAATTAGATCCATAAAACAAAAGTATAGAAAATTCTAAAAAAAAGTTAAACAATTATTTTGAAAATGATATTATGACTATAAAACATTTATTATTTAATATGTAATCAACATATCAAAATTATAACCGCTCATAAGACCAAAAAAAATAGAATAAAAGATAATCTAAGAGGATGGGGAAAAATTCACATGCACGTAATACCACTAACAACAACTGCATGAAATCATGACATGCCTGTTCAAATATTCTCATCATAATTGTTTTTACAAGAACTTGATTAACATCTTAATTTCTTAAAATATCCACAATGTTTTGAGGTAAACAAATACCACATTTTTTATAAGATATACTTTAATAAAATTAAATTTAATGTTCCCTTAGACATGAAAATAAATTACATAAAATTCACAACACAAAATAAATCAATTTTATTATATACATAGTTGAGTTATCTAACCCCAAGTATAACATTTATTCTGATATAACAGGTAATACAATATAGTTAAGCATTCCATGAATAACAAATAGGAGCATGTGTTATTCTTTTCAAAAAATAAACAGGACCAGTTGTACTAGCCAAACATGGTCCAGCTTGTTTTACAAAATAGTCGAAATAATCACCTTTCCTATAATCTCTTCTTTGTTTGTATATATCAAAATGACGGATATTTTTATCCCATTTAAACGAACAGAAGAATAATGTTCCTCCAAAAAAATTAGTGTTAAAGCTAAAGCTATAACTTCCCTTAGGGCGAATAAGATGCGGGCCTAGATCATCATCTCCAGATTTACAATGAACGGTTAAGTCCACATTATTTCCTAAATCGTTTGAAACTCTCACTTGCACTCCTAGAGCATTGTCCATTAATAGACACGTCAGGACACATAGAAATAAAAAATATCTTGTAAGAGGAGACATTACTCTTTTAACTAGTCTTTTTATTTGAAAGTCACTACCTTTTGTTACGTGAAAGTTACAAAAACTATTTAAAGAGGAAACAAATATTTATAGGATATATTTTGGAAAGAATAGAAAAATAAAATCAAACATTATGGTGTCATAAAAGCCATTCATTTTGCTTTAAATTTAAGCTTTACTAATATTTGATTGGAAACTAATTCAAATATGCTATTCTTTCTTCCAACTCAAGATCCTAAAATCGGGCCTTGGTCCATTCAAACTAGATTGCTTAATGTGGGTGCTAAGGTTAGAAAATGGAGCTTTTCACCACTCATGTTTATAGGGACGCGCCATTGTAGAGCCCCATGTAGTGTGGCACATTCCTCTTATGTTTCTTGCTTCATCTTTGTATCATGATATGTTAAGTTTGTCTAATTGTAGATTTGTTGGTGTTTAAGGGATTCATTTTAGTCCCGCACTACTTTTTCTCAGATCTATTGAATTTTGAATCAATAAAAAAAACATTAAATATATTAATAATTTTAATAATTAATTTTATTTACTATTTTATGTAGATATAAAATAATTCAAAAGTATTAAAAAATTAAAATTATACATTTCAAGAAAATCCTTAATAATTTAACAAAACATTTCTACAAAAATTACATGTCACCGATGTAAAACTCATGTGTTTTTTCAAACTATAAGATTTTGTCCCGGTTTTTGTTTTATTGTATCCCATGTTTTTAAAAGTTAAAAAGAGTTATATAAGAAATTAGTAATCACTTTTAATCAAATTATAACTTTTGTTATTTTAACATAAACAAATTATCTACTACTTCTAGCAAATGCGAACGATCATATGTTGGATGCCATTACTAGACTACGAACCCATGATCTAACGGTTGTGTGTTGTATATCTATTGGATTTACCTCTCCTTCTTGATAATAAAAAAGAAAACATTCATAAAAACAAAACATTTATAAATTTTGTAATATGTATTAAACAATATATATTTAAATCGAATTTGAGAAAAAAATATGTATTTTTAATATATATATATATATATATATATATATATATATATATATATATATATATATATATATATATATATATATATATATATATATATATATATATATATATATATATATATATATATATATATATCATAAGTGCATAAATGATATTACAGAGTCATTTACAAAAATTTAATAACATCACTAGTATAAAATCGTATGTTTTTATCAAGAAATACTACAGATCTTCAAAATAAGACAATGTAAATAACTCTAGAGACATCTTTAAGTTTCCTTAATCAGGTTACCCTCTGCCTTAACACGATGATAAGAACTTGAAAATGATCAACAATAGTAGGATAAGATTACTACATGCCAGTGAGTTCTATTTTATCAACAAATTCCACTCGACTCAACAAGTTTAAAAAAGCTTCAATGTTTCTTTCTTCCTTATATTTCGAGAACCCCATGCAACTTCTTTTTCCCTTCATTCCTTTAATTTCACGTGTTCCTTTTTTTTCTCTAATCTATTATGATGTCTCTCTTTTTAAAAAAGAAAATAATTAAAATGAGTGAAAGTTAGTAAAGAGACCTCCTTAAGAGAAATTAGTAATTTACTCTTCACTTTTGATGAATTTCAAATGTATGTCATTATTCCAACAATTTCTAAACTAAATCTTAACGTTTTTCATTTATTCATTTATAATTAATAACATTAGGCTCTTAAATAGATTTTGGATGTTATTGATATTACCACTCTAGGGATGGAAATTTGTCTCATTCCAAGTGGGTACCTACAAAAATACCCACAACGAGTAGGGTAAACCCGCAAAAATGGGTATTGGAAACTACCCATTAAAATAAGCGGGTATCGGTGCACGTAGAAGTACCTTACTACCCACTCCGTCACATACCCACACTATATTTTTATATAATTTCATTTATATTATTATATAAAAATAAATTTTTATCAATTTATAAAAAATATATCGTTATTAAACCATTACACATTTTAATACAAAATTTATTTATTTCATAACTCAACAATAACTTCCGGAATTTTTTTATTATTGTTAAAAAATATAAATTATATGATATTTTAAAATTAGTTGATTTAATTTTACTACAAACACGGGTAAACGGTTACATGTATGGGTATTGAGGTACCCATAGGGTACGAGTACGGGTATGAATATTGGTGCCCACACGGATTTGGACTCAGGTACGATAATATATTCAAATTGCGGATATGGGGACTGGTACTATAGTATCCTGACTAAACCCAATCCACTCCTTCTATAGATTAAAAAATTTTAAAAATTATATAAAAAACAATATTAAATTTTGTAATATAGTTTAAAAAGTATATTGATTAACGAAATTTGCCTAAACTATATATTTTGAATATATACCAGCCAAAGAAAGCTACCTTTAATATATATATATATATATATATATATATATATATATATATATATATATATATATATATATATATATATATATATATATATATATATATATATATATATATATATATATATATCTATATATATATATATATATATATATATATATATATATATATATATATATATATGAAGTTAGAAAATATTCATACACTAATAAAGTGAGTAATATATTTTAAATGCATATTATTGGTCTTTTACTGATTTTTCTCTATTTATTTTTATAAAAATAAAAAATTTCAGCGCCTACATTTAAAAATAAATACTTATTATTTTTAAAGAGATAAGATACAACAGATGAAATAATTAATTAATGATACTTCAAACTTTGAAAACAATAACTTTTTTGCATTCTACAACAGTTTTTAAAATTCCTTCATGGCTTCAATAGAAGAAAAAAGTCATCAAATGGTTTTAAGAGAGTCGGGTTAAATTAATATAAATGATAATTAAATAGTGTTTTGAAAACTATAATCATACATTATCAACATATAAATATAATACTAATCATTTATGTTTTATTTTTTGTTGTATTGTTACCACGTAGTAGTTAATGTTACAGATTAAATACCGTAACTCAATATCAAACATTTTTGTAAAATAATAATATATAAACTTAATGACTAAATTCATGTACTTGAATGTTACATAGAAAACTTACTTTATAAAAAAAGTCTCAAAATTATATTATTTACTAAAAAATTACTTTTTTTAGGAAGAGAATAAAATTGACTCTAGCATTGAAAATCTCAATTCCGATTTTGTAAAACAATGAGATTTTTTAAGTTAAGTAGAAAATATTATTAAAGAGTATGGTTGAAAATCAAATTTATTGTAATGACTTGGTGCGCCTTAATTATACATCATAACAAAGACGGTTGGAATTAGATCCATAAAACAAAAGTATAGAAAATTCTAAAAAAAAGTTAAACAATTATTTTGAAAATGATATTATGACTATAAAACATTTATTATTTAATATGTAATCAACATATCAAAATTATAACTGCTCATAAGACCAAAAAAAATAGAATAAAAGATAATCTAAGAGGATGGAGAAAAATTCACATGCACGTAATACCACTAACAACAACAGCATGAAATCATGACATGCCTGTTCAAATATTCTCATCATAATTGTTTTTACAAGAACTTGATTAACATCTTAATTTCTTAAAATATCCACAATGTTTTGAGGTAAACAAATACCACATTTTTTATAAAGATATACTTTAATAAAATTAAATTTAATGTTCCCTTAGACATGAAAATAAATTACATAAAATTCACAACACAAAATAAATCAATTTTATTATATACATAGTTGAGTTATCTAACCCTAAGTATAACATTTATTCTGATATAACAGGTAATACAATATTAGTTAAGCATTCCATGAATAACAAATAGGAGCATGTGTTATTCTTTTCAAAAAATAAACAGGACCAGTTGTACTAGCCAAACATGGTCCAGCTTGTTTTACAAAATAGTCGAAATAATCACCTTTCCTATAATCTCTTCTTTGTTTGTATATATCAAAATGACGGATATTTTTATCCCATTTAAACGAACAGAAGAATAATATTCCTCCAAAAAAATTAGTGTTAAAGCTAAAGCTATAACTTCCCTTAGGGCGAATAAGATGCGGGCCTAGATCATCATCTCCAGATTTACAATGAACGGTTAAGTCCACATTATTTCCTAAATCGTTTGAAACTCTCACTTGCACTCCTAGAGCATTGTCCATTAATAGACACATCAGAACACATAGAAATAAAAAATATCTTGTAAGAGGAGACATTACTCTTTTAACTAGTCTTTTTATTTGAAAGTCACTACCTTTTGTTACGTGAAAGTTACAAAAACTATTTAAAGAGGAAACAAATATTTATAGGATATATTTTGGAAAGAATAGAAAAATAAAATCAAACATTATGGTGTCATAAAAGCCATTCATTTTGCTTTAAATTTAAGCTTTACTAATATTTGATTGGAAACTAATTCAAATATGCTATTCTTTCTTCCAACTCAAGATCCTAAAATCGGGCCTTGGTCCATTCAAACTAGATTGCTTAATGTGGGTGCTAAGGTTAGAAAATGGAGCTTTTCACGACTCATGTTTATAGGGACGCGCCATTGTAGAGCCCCATGTAGTGTGGCACATTCCTCTTATGTTTCTTGCTTCATCTTTGTATCATGATATGTTAAGTTTGTCTAATTGTAGATTTGTTGGTGTTTAAGGGATTCATTTTAGTCCCGCACTACTTTTTCTCAGATCTATTGAATTTTGAATCAATAAAAAAAAACATTAAATATATTAATAATTTTAATAATTAATTTTATTTACTATTTTATGTAGATATAAAATAATTCAAAAGTATTAAAAAATTAAAATTATACATTTCAAGAAAATCATTAATAATTTAACAAAACATTTCTACAAAAATTACATGTCACCGATGTAAAACTCATGTGTTTTTTCAAACTATAAGATTTTGTCCCGGTTTTTGTTTTATTGTATCCCAT